TAGAAGAAATGTGAAATACATATGGTAAAGGGCAGTTACAGAGCTGGTGTGGCAGAATTTTTAGAATTTAGTGACCACCGAACAACAAATCTAGAATGGCAAAAATTTTAGGGGGAATCAGAATTTAGAAAGGCACTAGCAGCAGAAGTTAGAATCCACGAGATTGCAATCAGGTGGAAAATGCCTAGTGCCGCTCTGTATATGAGCATTAAGACTATTAGATGAATCTTTTAATTTTAATTTTTCAATTTCTTATTAATAGAAAAATCCCTTCATATGCCTGATCATGTGATAAGATTAGAAGCATTTTGAATTTTCCATGCTTGTGTCTAGCAAAAATTAGAGAAAATAAAGGGAAGATAAACACATTCGAAAAACATTCTAGTATCAGAATAAACATTTCAAATATTATTTTTTCATTTTTTCCGCATTCTCCAAAAGTAAGAAATTCATCACAACTTTCTAAATACATCCAGTATATGTTGATACCATGGGAGGGTTTTTCATTTTGTCACTATATCTTGAATATTCTGAATCGTGTGTTATAAATTTTGCCTTCAAATCCTTCTAAACTTCCCAAGCTGAAATGTCCAAAACCCTAAAAAAATTTCCCTACCAATTTGGTCACTGTAAAAAGCCAGCAAATATTTTGGGGAAAAAAAGGGGGGTGAAAATGTTAAATTAATTTTACAGAAAAACTGATGCATATTCTGATACCATTAATGGGAAAAAAACTCTTACTATGAAAATTAAAAAGAAGACATTTTAATAATTACATAGCTATTTTTTTTGCTAAGAGATGTTTCAAAATTGTGCTTTTTATAGCATTATACCTTGTTTATTTTTCAGATTCAAACTATTGTATAATAAGTGCCAAAATTAAACTTTATAATATGACAGCGGAAAAAAAAATGTTTATCTTAAAGTTATTTTTTAATATAATTTCAATATCTCACCATTATTTAATGAAATTTATCAATGTTACGATGTTTTAAAAAAAATCGTTGGAAAATTCTCAGATCTCGGAATTAAAAATTTTCAATAGAAACTGATCTTAAATCGCCAAAAATGTTGATAAGTCACCAAATTTAGAACTGCTTTAATAAAAAAATTCACATCCCCAAAAGTGAAGTTGTTTAAGAATTTCAAAATTTATGTTTACTTTTTGCTTTAGGACTAAAGTATCCCATATCAATAAGAAACAAATATGACCCATAACCATTTCAAAGATACCATATATGTCAGTGAATTGCCAAAAATATTTCTCCAAAATGCTAATTCACGCTCAAAATGGCAGTCGTGAAAACAGACAGAAATTTCAGATGATCAAAATTAAGGACCTTCTGCTGATTTTGGTCAAAATTAAGGACTTTTAAGGACCGAAAATTGATTCCAAAAAATCTAAGGGCTTTTAAGGACTCTTAAGGAACATACAAATTCTGAATATAGGAGTTTTCAGCTGCGTCAAGTCCATGTAGTATCTAAGATGGAGTACACAGACAAATATTATATTATTATGCATCGCATAAACTTGACATACACGTTCAATTGCTGGGTGACACATGAGCTGCCTCAAGCAGATAAGGACAGACGTGTTTGGGCCAACACTAATCTGCCCGAATATACACGCAAGGACAAAATTCTGGACCGGATCGTCACTTGTGATGAAAAGTGAATTTACTTCAACAACACAGGCTGAAAAGGGGATTGGTCTGTGCTTGGCGAGTCTGTGGGCAGTTTCACAAGGTGCAATTTGACTAAGGAAAAGATCATGCTTTGTATCTGGTGGGATTGCATTGGTATTACCCACAAGGAGTACCTGGAAGAAGGTCAAACTTCTGTCAGTAAGGTGTACAGTGACACTGGCTGGACTCTGTATAGACTCGAATGGGATCTTTTGCCACATCCACCATATAGCCTCAACATCACTTCTTCGGACTTCTATCTTTTCTCACACCTGCAGCTACATCTTGTTGGTGCTATTTTCCACTCTCCACAAGACCTCCGAAATGAAGTTGATCTGTTTTGGGACTCACGACTACCAAGTTTCTGGGCTGAAGGCTTTGAAAACCTACCAAAATGTTGGCAGAAAATCATAGATTTGGGTAGTGATTACTACTTTCACTAAAGGTACTACTTTAATTTTTTCTAGCTTTATTAAGATTTTTTTTTTTTTTTTTTTTTTTTTTTTTTTTTTTTTTTTTTTTGGGTGGAAAACTTTCATAATAACTATATGTTTAATCAAATGGTATATCATAGCTCCCAAACTTGAAATATGAAAAACCGGAAATTTCCGGGATGTTTAGGCCACATGGTGACATCATTTCAAAAGAATTCCTAATTGACTTAAATCCACTTTATAATGCATGATTCAAGTTACTGAACTATTTATAATATGATTATGATGTAAAATATTAATATTTAATTAGGTATTCCAAATTTTATCTTCTTTTGCACTTTCCATTTAGTATTTTTTTTTTTACACTTTATATTGATAAAATTGAGTACGGAAGAAACGCTTTTATTCATCAAAATACTTTTAAATATGATGAAAATAAAATTAATAATTAATGTACAAACTACTAGTATATAAACTTGGTAATGTAGCATACACTGATGAAAAACAAATTAAATACAAACATTAACTGGTTAAGCATTGCTAGATTCTTCATAGAAAGATCTATAAAAGTCTAGAGCAGATTAAGACAATTCAGATCCAATAAAATTTAATCAGGAAAATTATGCTTAAACTTGCTAGGGAAAAACATTTGCACAATTTCATTGATTCAATAAATAGCATTTATAGCTAGGAAACATTTTCCTGGTACAAAGAATTGGCAGCTATTATATATGCACAATGTCAAAATTTATTTTCTTTCATTGTATAATTGCACTCATTTCATTTGCATATTTTATGCACAAATACCTTACAGTATTAGGGGTTAGTATTCAGTAGCATGTAATCATTATAGTTGGTAGAATGTCAATCAGTCTTTAAATAGTTAGCATCATTATAAAATTATACTTTAATTCTGAACACTGGTATATATGACAGATCTTGGACTTACAATTCAGATTTCTTACTGAGAGAATATTTTTATCTTTGGACGTACGTACATACGTTCGTACAGATGCCACGAAAAATTCTCCTCAGAATTAATTTTAAAGCAGTTTTATTGGAGGAACTCTTTTATTCTGGCCTCCGTACAGATCATGCAAACATCGTTAACTTGTTTCGACAGCGGTCAAAATTTATTTTTTGTCGAAATTGCTGCTGAAACTTTGATACTTTTTTTTTACTTCGTACAAGGAAGTAAAAACAACAACAAAAAAAAAAAAAAAAAAAAAAGGCAAAGACATGCTTCATGCAATCCTCAACAACAGCCATTTAGAAATGCATTTCCTCACTATTTCTTTTAGAAAATTTTTCAGCATAATTTTGTATTCCTGCAAAAATTTAACTGCACTTTCTTCCCTACCTGCAAATTCCACAAGCTTAAATTTTAAAACTAAGACATCCTAATTTTTTTATAAAAACCATTGTAACTTGGAATACAACAATAGCAACACACACACATGCACCCCCCCCCAAAAAATGCAGTTTTGCTTGACTAAAGGATTGTTCTGAGCATGATTGCTGGAAAAATGGTTATGGGCATTGTTGCTAAAGTTTGGCCCATTCTGAAAATTTGGAGACTTTTAAGCTGGTTGCATTAATACGTAAGTACTAAATTTCTTTTTCATCTTTTATACTACTATAATAAAGTACACATGAGCATGGAAATAACAACAAATTTTGCACTTAACAGATATGTCTGATGTCTTTCATTGAAGGATTGAGTGTCTCTAACTTGCTGAGAAAAGGAATATGACATTTTATATTCAAAGCTGGCATCATCATATATAAATTTCAGGCTTAGTGTCAATATATGTGAAAGCCTCTTTAAGAAAACATACATTATCAATAATAAGAGCACACAAAATTATTTTTAAAAAGAATTTTAAAAACATTATATCAAATATATCTTAATACAGTAAAAGCCTGACTAGCTAGCATTCAACTTACCAAAAAGCCACTGGAATTTTTAATTTTAGGAAAAATAAAACTCCCCACAAATTATGTAAATGGGAGATTAGTAAATGCCATTACAGAGTTCATCGTACTAATACCATGCATATGTTATCTTCCAACAGTGTGATTTAGCACCAATAATGGATAAGTATGACATCATATCACAATCATATGAACTTCTTGTTTTTATGTAAATCGGATTAATTCTTGATAAGCCATTTAATTTTTGTAAAGATGATATAAGTTCTGTTTTTTCTTTGCATTTTGAAAAAATGATTAATATTTGGGATCTGCCTTTTATGGAACAGCCTGCAGTAAAGTATTTTCACAGTTACAGGATTCTTGTATCAAATAAAGGCATGATATGCCATTTTGTTTGAAAATAGATAAACAAGGGCAATACTACGTGAAAAATTATGACAAGCAATTTAAGTTTTTTATGTGTTATATCTGTAATTTGCATCTGTTTATTACCTAATTAAATAAAGATCAATATGCTTTTAGAAATTTCCGCCAGAATAATTGTTACATGTTTGGTGGCATCTCTGCCAATTTTCAAGTTTGGCAGGATTGAATAATCAGATAAGATGTTTTACTTTCCTGTTTCAGACCTACGAAATATGCCCAAGTTTATGTCTGAAAAGTAATTCTTTTTAAAATTTTATATAATTTTAAATGTAGGTTTTTGATATTCAAGTTGAAAACAAATAACATAATTTTTTTTATAATTTTGCACTGGAAATTTCATCCATTTATTTAGCTTTTCTAACATGAATTCCATTTCTGTATACACTCAACTATCTGGAATTTTCAGATGTTCGGCATTCGCGAGTTCTCAAGCTTTTCAGACAGTAGAACTTTTACATATTAAAATTCCACATACCCTCATTTTCAGCATAGAAAGCATAATATTTCCATTAAGTTTTACCTTCTTAGCTTAGCTGCTCTTGATTGCAATTCTTTTTCTTTTTCTCGAATTTCAGCTATAGTATTCCAAGCATCATGCTGTGGTTTTTGGTCCAGAACCCATCTGAGATACATCCCACTCCACAACACTATACTCTGTGGAGCAACAGTTGGCCATATCACATTCTTATTAGGTTCATACATAGGATTTAGATATGTTAACAGCATTTCAGTGCGGTTTAACATAGACCTAAAGAATTAACAAAGTTAAGAAAAATCATATCAAGACATATACTTAAAAACTATAGTCTGATTTTACAACATTAAATATATAATTTTATTGAATTAAATAAAATAGCTTCTCTACCTGATTTTGGAAAGAAAAATACATATGCTCCAAAGCCTTACTTTGGGAAGGAAAATGCATAATATATATAGTAACAATTATGATCGTGATGCAATAAATTATACATAGTGCACTCACAAATAATAATACTAACATTTGCCATAACATAATTTAGAAAAACGATTGTTACATATGAAAATTTTAGAATAAAAACAAATAAATAAATAAATAAAACATATCAGAACATCTGAGAACAGAGATGGCATATATACGTACAAAGTGTTCAAAATAAAATGGTTACATGCTTGTATTTTCCTTAAATCATGATGTTAGACATATATTAAACTTCTTAGATACAAAATAATATTAAGGAAATAAGATTCTGCAATCTGAACACTATCAATAAAGGGAAGGATTCTGCAAAAATAAATTATACGTTTTCTATAGTACAAGTATGTTTTAACATGCAAACGAAGCATTCCACATCTCAGCATGCTAAACTAACAGTCATTAGAGAAGAAATATAATGGTTTAAGGTAATTTCTCTATTTCTATTACCCATTGGATTAAAAATTTTTTAGAAGAAATTAAAAAGAAACTAAAAAGTAAAAGCAATTCATTTTGGCAACTAATAACTGTTTTTGAAATAAAACACGATTTGCAACTACAGTTTCAGCCTTATTTTTGATGACTATAAAGTATATTGTAAATAAATGGAACTTTTTGCATTTAATTAATTAAAGTCTAAAGATGGTTCACAATTTTTTTTTTTTTTTTTTTAAAGAACTCTCCCTATAAAATTTTGCAGCTCCTATTATATCCTATTTTATAACTGGGACTATGCACTTAGGATCAATATTTAAGAAAACAAAGTCTACAGTTGTTTTTTAAACATTCTCCATTTACTACATTGGCCTGAGCATGCTTCTGAAAAAACCTATACAGTCAACAAACCTGAAAAAACCTATAAAGACAACAAAAGTCTTTAATCCGGACGTCCATAATTTGGAATGATCTACAATCCGGACCTCAAAGCTGCAAACTTTCTGCGCATGCGTTAATGCATACTGCGTTAACGCATGCACATAATACGTTTATGGATGCATGTTTAATGTATAACAGACGGTATAAGCTAAGCTAAAATTATCTAATTATCTTTTTCAGTTAATGTTGCAGATTGCATTGTTCCGTAATCTTCTAATTGGATCCGACTTATTTTTTGCAGATTGTTAGAGCAATTTTATAAAAATTAAGCTTGAACTTTCGATTATGTCAAAAAGAATTTCCGATTCTGGAGCTGCCAAAGGATTTACAAAGAGGAAAGCAGTTCGATGTCCATCAAACAAAAAAGTGGAATTGCTGCAAAAAATGGATAAAGGCATATCTTTGATTCTTAATCTCCAAAATATTTTATAAATTTCACGCGCTCTGGGGGGAAACGACGCGGCGCGCGATGAACTGGAAGTGATTGTCAGCACTATCTTATTTCAGGGCAGATGTTTTTTATTTTATTGGCTTATAATTCCTTACTAAATGTAATTTTCTCTCAATGTTACTTGTCTTTGATATGATTTAATCAAATTCTTCATCATTATAAATATCACGAAACACATCAAATAGTCTGGTTGCAATTTTCTAATTCGACTATGCGTAATGTATGCTTACACATGCGCGCGTTGAAAGAAAGATTTCATAAAACAAATAAATATAAAGCTTTTTTTTTTTTGTAAATTTTGACCCTTTAGCTCATATTGCTCTTTATTCATAAATTTGGTTTCATATTTTTAATTTATTAATTGCTGCATGCCATCTTACCAGATTTAAACTGATGATCTATAATCCAGAAAAACCGATAATCCGGAATTGCCGAAGTCCTGACGAGTCCGAGTTAAAGACTTTTGACTGTATATGTGAAAACCAAATTTAGAAAACTATACTAAGATCCATTTATAACTTTTTCAAGAAAAATATTTATTTAGTTTTAGTTCAGGTTATAGTACTTAGATCACAAGGAAGACAAATACTTTTAGCCATGACCCAGATAGTTCTTTTTTGTGCATCACATTGGCAGGTCAGCATAAGATGTGATGATGTTTGTGTGACGATTTTTTCTGGTGCCTCTCTTGTTTTCTAGAATATGATAAGGCAGAATATCTTTTCCCAGAAGAAATCTTTTTAAAACTGAAACTGCAACTGAAAATAGCTTTTTATGCCCTCATTTCATATTTTTTTACTTTAAATAAGCCCAAGATGGAGAACACAAAGTCACGATGGTCCTGCATGCAGGTCAACCAATGAAACAAAATGTACACATAAATTTTAAAGAATATAAACTATCCAAAAAATGCATCGATGGTTAATCAAACATACTTTATAAATTTATAGCTTCACACACATTTTAATTTTTATTCCAAAAACTGTGTTGCAAAATATACAAAATATTAAAATATACTTAATGTGAGATATGAAACATTAAATGTTTGCTTGCAATTATTTAATCTAAATTAGTTCCACATCACTTGCCGTAATCCTCAATACTAAATGTTAATTTTCATTAGTAATTTACGATCAATATTTTTTTTCATGTATTTCATAAATGAAAAAGTTTTTTCACATACATATGTCGATCCAAATAAAACTAAATACATTTTGACACAGTTCAGAAAATATTTCATATTTATCTGCCTTTAAAGAATTATTCACTTGAACGAAACTTGTCCTTTGTCAAATGGTCTGATTGCAAATCAGTCAGTTCTAACTGAATCTGAAAGAGTATCCTGCACATTAAAATTAAATAGCATACTTATTAATGACAAATCTTTTAATTTTTTTTTCAAGTCTTCAAATCTGAAAATTTCGCAAGTAAATCTTTTATAATTTTTGCATAATAAACAAAATTATCATTTCTCAAGATTTCTCATCATGAATCCAATGTTGGAAAGTGACTTAACTGTTTCTCATTTAAAATTTCAGAAAATAAATTTTGTCATAAATACTTTGATTCTTTATATATTCTAAGTATGTATTGTTTTTTGCTTTTTTTCCTTGCAGTACAATATTTAGTTTCCCCAGAGAAGTCAGTATGTCGACAGGAAAGGAGAAATCGTTCAACCATTCTTTCTTTTGCCACTTGGGAAAGTAGATTTATTTATTATTTTTATTTATTTATTTATTCATTTTTATTTTTATTTATTTATTTATTTTTGTTAACTGGCAAGAAAATTATGATTATATCAAACAAACTCCCTATTCTTTCCCCAAGCTTCTTCTTTTGATACGTCTTTTTTATCACAACACTATTCATATTTCATTGTTTAATATCTAAATTAAAGCTGCTAAAATGACAGAACTAATTCTTCACAGTGGGTGCACATGCTTTCTAGCATATCAACTTAGGTTGACTGCTAGTAAATAAAGCATATGCAGGTGCATATACAAACATAGCAACTGATGTGCACTTATGCTCCTGATTTCGACTGTTTGCTTACAGAATTGGGTAAAAAAGAGAGTGAAAATATGATAGCACAGGATTTAGCATTAGAAAAGTTGTGTTCGACCCATGGGCCAGATTTTATCCAATCAGCTTAGATCATTTAACTATTAATCTTAATCACATCTTCACTACAGTATATTTACATAAGTGCAAAAATAAAATATGCAAACTTTATGCTCCTTTTATGGAGAATCATTTTGTATGTGAGGTTAACACATACTCAGACAAATATATGCAATATCATGATTATATGATCCTCATATGCAATATCATGATTTTAATGCATGACATTAACACATTAACATTCAATATACAATGTCCAAAGAAGTTCCTTTCCAATTACAGAAATGTTTTCAATTAAGTAAATATTTATATATTGGCATTTATAAATTTAAAAAAAATGTAAAAATTAATGAAATACAAAAAGGGTGACCCTCAAATGACAAAAATTGACTAAGATATTTCATTGAGTTAGAAATCATATTCAGAGACCATATACAAATTGAAGAGCCAAAATGTCTGCATTTGTATGTAATTAAAAATAAAAAACTTTAGAAAAAGGTTTCTGATGTTGACAGAATAAGTGATGAGCACTTCTGTGCAATACCTTTCACAACAATTAGGTTATGAAAAGTACTAATCGGCAAAATGTTTTTCAAAAAATGAATTTCATTCATAAAAGCCTATAAAATTCAAGTTTTAGAAAACACTGGCAGGCTTCAGTAAATGACACATAGTCAATTCATAATATTATTTGCATAAATTAAAAATGAAAAATATTTCTAATTTAATGAATTTTTATGTGAACATTAGATTATGATTCTAAAGGAATAAAACTCAGGATAAGACTATTACATGCTAGTAAAATCACAAAGGAATATCACTAAATGACGTTTTAGGAGGAAATTAATCTTGAATTAAGCTAATTTATTATACCTCCAAACAAATTAAAAATGCCTCAAATACACAAAATTTTGAAATTAGACATCTCAGGTCAGTTTCTGGTGATAAACTTTTCAATCTAGTCCAATAAAAGTCAAGCTTTTTATTTTTTATAATGAACATAAAATTTCACTAAATATAAATACAGGGACTGAAGAACCCTACAAAAAGTTAGACTTTGTAAGTTTTATAAAACAGATTTTTTTCAAAATTTAAAAATGCCAAACCTGAATATTTGCATCATTTAAAATACTTCTCTGATTGGGATGCCTATTATAAACAGTTTCAAAAACAGAGGCCAGGTAAGGACTTCTGTGGACATGGTATATATGTTTATTCCACGTTAAAAACAGAATTTCTGTAAATTGAGAATTAATATCTCTAACATGCATTTTTACATATCTGTTAATACAAAAAATTACCATAAAATACTAGTACACAGAGAAAAAATCAAAATTATGAATAGTGA